AGGAGGATGAGGAGGAGGAGCCAAGGAGGAAGGACACTCACCTGGATGCCGTTGAGCGACGCCACGCCCATGTAGAGGAAGACGCCGTAGAGCACCGGCATGGGGATGTACTGGGAACGGAACCGGGACGGCCTGAGCCGGGCACGGGGACACGGGGACACGGACACGGACACGGGGACACGGGCACGGGGACAGGGACACGGGGACACGGGGACACGGACACGGGGACACGGGGACACGGGGACACGGGGACACGGGCACGGGGACACGGGCACGGGGACACGGGGACACGGGGACACGGGGACACGGGGACACGGGCACGGGGACACGGGCACGGGGACAGGACGGGGACACGGGGACACGGGCACGGGGACAGAGGGACACGGGGACACGGGGACACGGACACGGGCATGGGGACACGGGCACGGGGACACGGGCACGGGGACTGGCCAGGGCCAGGGCCAGTGCTGGAGGTGCCCAGCGTGGGGCAGGCTGCAGCTTCTCCTGCCCACGTCCCCAACTCTCTGTTGGAGAGTTTTACCTTCAGGACAGGAGCCAGGAAAACCGAGATGCCCGTGAGGATGAAGACGATGATGCCGGTCACCCTCTGCTCCCTGAAGTGGGGACAGCAGGAGGGTCAGCCCAGGAACCGCCCAGGAACCGCCCAGGAACCTCACAGGAACCACCCAGGAACCGCCCAGGAACCACCCAGGAAACACAGAGGAACCATCCAGGAACCACAGAGGAACCACCCAGGAAACACACAGGAACCACACAGGAACCGCCCAGGAACCACACAGGAAACACACAGGAACCACACAGGAACCACACAGGAAACACACAGGAAACACACAGGAACCATCCAGGAACCGCCCAGGAACCACCCAGGAAACACAGAGGAACCACACAGGAACCGCCCAGGAACCACACAGGAAACACAGAGGAACCACCCAGGAACCACCCAGGAACCACCCAGGAACCACCCAGGAAACACACAGGAACCACCCAGGAACCACCCAGGAACCACCCAGGAACCGCCCAGGAACCACCCAGGAACCACCCAGGAACCACCCAGGAACCGCCCAGGAACCACCCAGGAAACACACAGGAACCACACAGGAACCACACAGGAACAACACAGGAACCACACAGGAACCACCCAGGAATCACCCAGGAAACACACAGGAACCACACAGGAACCTCACAGGAACCACCCAGGAACCGCACAGGAACCACACAGGAACCACCCAGGAACCACACAGAACCACGGGGTCACCAGTGGGAACAGCAGTGACAACCCCTGCCTGGTCCTGCTGGCCTTGGTGTCCCCCAGGACAGGACAATCCCTTGTGGCCACGCTGTCCCCCAGGCCAGGGACGTCCCCCCAGTGCCAGGAAACCACCGAGAGCCACCTGGGCCCTCCAGGACCCACCTGACCCCCAGGAACTGTCCCAGGTGTCCCCCAGGACCCATCCCAGGTGTCCCCAGGCCCACCTGACCCCCAGGAACTGTCCCAGGTGTCCCCCAGGACCTGTCCCAGGTGTCCCCATGCCCACCTGACCCCCAGAACCCGTCCCAGGTGTCCCCCAGGAACTGTCCCAGGTGTCCCCCAGGACCTGTCCCAGGTGTCCCCCATCCCCACCTGACCCCCAGGAACTGTCCCAGGTGTCCCAGGTGTCCCCATGCCCACCTGACCCCCAGGACCCATCCAGGTGTCCCCATCCCCACCTGACCCCCAGGACCCATCCTGGTGTCCCCCAGGAACTGTCCCAGGTGTCCCCCAGGACCCATCCTGGTGTCCCCATCCCCACCTGACCCCCAGGAACTGTCCCAGGTGTCCCCCAGGAACTGTCCCAGGTGTCCCCCAGGACCCATCCAGGTGTCCCCATCCCCACCTGACCCCCAGGAACTGGGGCTGCTCCCCCGGCGCGCTGGTCTCGGTCTCCATCTTGAGGCTGTCGATGTGGGCGATGGAGATGACCGTGGCGGCCACGTACCAGGGCAGCCCCATGAAGGAGCACACGGCCATCAGGATGCCCACCCAGAAGAGGTCCAGGTGGTACCCGGCTGCCTTCTGCAACACAGCACGGCGGCGCCGCGGTCGGCCCGG